TTCTTTTCGTTTAGAAGATATGCTTAATATAAATATTTAGGGGCCACCCCTACAAGTCCTTAATGGGGTCATTTTACAAAAATTCAGAGTATGCATATTGTTTAGATCATTATTCTGACCATCTTTTGTTCAATATTGCTTATCAAAATTGTCCCCCTTTTCGAGATATGAAGCGTCAAAGATTTAGCATTCTGGCCCCTCGTGACCCCTTATTACGTAACATATGACCAAAATATTATAATATGTTGTTGCAAATTGTTAATATGAACAACTTTGCTTCTGTAATGTATCACAAAATATTGATCATTAAAGAGTTAAAAATGAAAGACTTTTGGCCCCTCTGAGCCCCTAATTTGATGAGTCAGCCCCATTTTCTTCATATCATGTAATAGTTCTTGTAATTCTGCACAACTTTTGTTCAATATGTCTTAACAAATTATAAAGAGATAAGAAGATATGAAACAAAAGGTGTCAAATTTTGTGAGATGTTTCTGAGATATTTTTTCGGGCCCTACCGAGCTCCGGCGCCTTTTGCGCTAGAAAGATTTGGACACCAGCCCGCAACTCTACAATTCTTCCTTTACTTTCACTAAAAATCTTAAGTCAATATCTTAAGTCGTTTCGGAGGAGTTTCCCGGACAAGCCTACCCTCTAAAAATCAGAAAATTCATAATATCTCGAGATAGAAAGTGACGTCATCGCCGAAAAAAATTTCCAATAAGGTTCAGACCAATACCTATCAGATCTGAAAGTTTGATCAAAATCAGATGAGCCACTACCGAGAACTCGCGTGCACAAAATCGGTAAGAATAATAATAATAATAACTAGAGCAGAGCTCGTTGCAAAGCAACGAGTAGGTCTTCCGTCCTGTTTGATCGGAAGTAACTGTCATTTTTTAAAGAAATGAGTAATAACGCCCAAAAATGGTTTAAATACTCTTAACATATGTTAATTAATGCAAAAATAAGCCAGTGTTTGCTACTTCAGGTTTGACCGGAAGTGATGACGATGGACAGAAAATTAATTTTTATGCTCCCAGAGACATATGTTACCCAAATACTTGTCAAGAACGGCAAAAATACGCGTTTTCCGACTACTTCCAGTTTGGCCGGAAGTGACGTCGACGGACGTATTTTGACGATTTTAATAGATTTAGCTTGACATTTTGAACAACTTTGCTTCTTTGACGTATTACAAATTCTCAATACTTTTTGAGATATAAAGGAAAAACTTCTGGCCCCTCTAGGCCCCTTATTTTAGGGGCCAGCCCTTTTCTAGACATACCATTTGAAAGATCTTGAAATTCTACACTTCTTTTGTTCTATATATTTTAACAAAATATTTCCTGGTAAAAAGATATCGTAGAAAAAGTGTTAAAAATTTTGAAATTCGCGATAGGTCTATTTTCTGGCCATAGCGCGCGCCGACGTGCAGCACTTCCGGTGAAAATGAAATACGTATGTCACATCTACATATATTGCTCTATCATTGCTGAAAAACTCAAGTTTCTATCCTAAGCCGTTTCTGAGAAAACTCGCGGACAAACTGACCCTCTGAAAATCACTAAATCGCGGAAATCTCCAAACCGGAAGTGACATCATCAAAACAAAAAATTATATATCAGCTTTGTTTGATGTTCTATCAGTCCTGAAAGTTTCATGAAAATCGAACCAGCCGTTTCCGAGAACTCGCGTGCACAAAATCGGTAAGAAAAAAAAACAATAATAATAACTAGAGCAAAGCTCGTTGCAAAGCAACTAGTAGGTCTTCCGTCCGGTTTTGACCGGAAGTTCCGGAAGTGACATCAACACAAGAAAGCAATGAGCTTAGTTGTCTCCAGTGACTTTATAATTCCAAGTTGCACCAAAACCTTCAAAATAAGCACTATTTTTGGCTACTTCCGGTTTGACCGGAAGTGACGACGACGGACGGAAAATTAAGATTTAAGCTTCCAGTGACATATGATATCCAAAAACCTGTCAAGAACAGCAAAAATATGCAAAATTTGACTACTTCCGGTTTGACCGGAAGTGACGTCGCCGGACGTATATTGACGACGCCATTAGATAAAGCTTGATATTTTGAAAAACTTTGCTTCTTTGACGTATTACAAATTCTCAATACTTTTTGAGATATAAAGTAAAAACTTTTGGCCCCTTTTGGCCCTTTATTGTATGGGCCAGTCCCTTATTGTTGAAATCTTTTGAAAGACCGTGACACTCTTCACAACTTTTGTTCTATACGTCTTTACAAAATATTAACGTGTAAAAAGATATTGCCAAAAATCTGTGAAAAAATTCTAAATTCCCGATAGGTCTTTTTCGAGCCATAGCGAGCGCCGACGTGCTGCACTTCCGGAGAATAAGAAAGGTGTATGTCACATCAGCATATATTGCTCTATCATCGCTGAAAATCTTACATTTCTATCTAAAAGCACTTTTGAGAAAAATGCTGGACAATGTGACCCTCTGAAAATCACTAAATCGCGGAAATCTCGAAAGCGGAAGTGACGTCATAAAAATAAAAAAAATATATATCAGGTTTGATTGATGTTCCATCAGTCCTGAAAGTTTCATGAAAATCGATCGAGCCGTTTCCGAGAAATCGCGTGCACAAAATCAGTAAGAAAAAAACAATAATAACTAGAGCAAAGCTCGTTGCAAAGCAACGAGTAGGTCTTCCGTCCGGTTTTGACCGGAAGTCCCGGAAGTGACGGAACAAAAGAGAGTAATGAGCTAAGTAGTCTCCAGTGACTTTATAATTTCAATATTGCATCAAAACCTTCAAAATAAGCCATGTTTTGCTACTTCCGGTTTGACCGGAAGTGACGACGACGGACGGAAAAGTTACTTTTTATGCTCCTAGAGACATATGTAACCCAAAAACTTGTCAAGAACGGCAAAAAACCGCGTTTTCGGACTACTTCCGGTTTGACCGGAAGTGACGACGCCGGACGTATTTTGACGACTCCAATAGATTAAGCTTGACATTTTGAACAACTTTGCTTCTTTGACGTATTACTAATTCCAAATACTTTTTGAGATATAAAAGAAAAACTTTTGGCCCCTCTTGGCCCTTGATTTAAGGGGCCAGCCCTTTTTTCGAGGTATCATTTGAAAGATCTTGGAATTCTATACTTTTTTTGTTCTACATGTTTTAACAAAATGTTTCTAGGTAAAAAGTTATCGTAGAAAAGGTGTTAAAAATTTTGAAATTCTTGGTAGGACTATTTTCGGGCCATAGCGAGCGTCGGCACTTCGTACTTCCGGTGGTTGTGATATACGAAATTCACTTCTCCAAAGCTTCCTCTAACATCACTGAAAATTTCATGCTTCTGTGTTGAGTGGTTTTTCAGAAAACTGCCGGACAAAGTGACCCTCTGAAAATCACTAAAACGCGGAAATCTCAAAACCGGAAGTGACGTCATCAAAACAAAAAAATATATATCTAGTTTTTTCCATGTTCTATCAGTCCTAAAAGTTTCATGAAAATCGAGCGAGCCGTTTTCGAGAACTCGCGTGCACAAAATCGGTAAGAAAAAAAACAATAATAATAATAATAAAAATAGTGGAAAAGAAACCTAAGAATAACAGTAAGGTCTTCCGCTGAAGACGGAAGACCTTAATAAAAATAGTGGAAAAGAAACCTAAGAATAACAAGAAGGTCTTCCGCTGAAGACGGAAGACCTTAATAATAGGGAAAAAGAAACCGAACGAAAACAATAAGGTCTTCCGTTGGAAACGGAAGACCTTAATAAAAAACAGAGTAAAGACAATATGTTCCCCAACTTCGTTTGGGGAACATAATTAATTGGTACCAAAAGTAAGGTATTCTCACTGGAAAATGATTGTGAAATTTGAAAGTAAGATTATGTTAAATTTTTTTAATAAGTGCAAAAATCTCCAAGGTCAAGGTCAAAAGGTCAATGTTATTAGTATCAAATGAAAGGTCTTACCACATAAAATACTTATGTAGAGCTTGAAAGCCCTAATTGAAGAATTTGTTAAATTTCGTAACTAACATCACATACATATACCGATGTTTTAATGGTGAACACTCTTGATGAAGTACTAATATTCTTTTTACTCCTGAGGCATATCTATTTTGATTAAATATATTTTTTACAGCGCAAGGTACATGTGGTATTGAATAAAAAAGAAAGTCGTTAAAAGCTATACATAGATTGTTTATATTAATATAAAGAAAAACTATACTAAAATGTTGATAAGGTATGTCAATCTTCAGCTTCTAGAAACGTTCACGCAGAACCTCTTACTTCAAAACTGTTTATCAAAATTCAATATTTATAACATATTTAAATTCAACAACGTATATTGCTCAGCATTTAATAAAAAAATGCTCAAACATCCCGGAAAAAGCAATATTTATGAGGGACTATTTTTTGTTGTGGAAGGATAGTTTACAGAAAATTCTGCAAATTTGTACATTTATTATGTTCCCCAAACAAAGTTGGGGAACATTTAAGGAATCACTGTCTAGTTTTGAGGGTATGCCAGGGCATCAACAATAGTGGGAAACATGGGATAATTTGCATAACGGGCGAAGCCCGTTATGCTAAAATTATCCCATGTTTCCCACTATTGTTGATGTCCCTGGCATACCCTCAAAACTAGACAGTGATTCCTTATATTTCCATTTTTACTTGAAATAACCATCTTAAAATAAATCGAAATTCCGTCTAATTGAGTAGATTTGAAATGCACAAGGCCCAATGACGTCAAATTTTACTATAAAAAATAGTCTCCAAAAACGAAACAAATTTATTGACTATTTATATTAACCGTAGTCAAATATCAACATTTATAAAATAAACAACAAAAGAATTTTAAATGACGATCAAAGTAATCTTGTTGACTTTAATTATATATGTGACCTAGATTTAGGTTGTCGGAAGCACGAACATATATAGGCACTATGTCACTTCTCCGCCGCCATATTGAATGCAATGTTGCAGTTGATGAAACGGGAGCTGGTCAGCATGGTCAGGAAACCGATTTGTATGGATGTTATAATAACAGAAGAAGTTGAGTTGCTTAAGAAGTCGGATGGTAATGACTAAGGGACGATGTCTGTATCAGATGATGGAGTACGTGCAGATCCATGTGGCACTGTCAATTTCTCCACGTGGCTGTTACGGAAGTGGAGTTCTCGGACTCGCGAGGCCTCGATGATAGTGGACAGCGTTGCGCTAGTGACTTGCTTTCGAGCCGAAGATAATTCATTATTTATTTTGTTTGTTAAAAAGATATATCAATCAAATTACTTAGTAAACACTTAAACAAAACATCTATTTTTTCTTGAGTATATTTATACGCCAGTGATATACATGCAGGTTGACACCTGACCTTTCAGTAATAGAGAAATATACATACCACAGGGTATTATCATGAAATTAACAAGCTACACTTTTGTAGTGTTTATCATAGAGAAAACAATTGGAAATGGAAATATATTGTTTTTACTCTGTTTCTTCTTATTATTTTTCTTCTTCCTGGGTACTTATTTGTCCGCGAATGATCTTGTAAACTGTTCATCTGATGTAGGTAAAACCTTTTAAGGGTAAGTTGACATGTAGATTTGCGGAATCAAGGTCATTTCAAGCGCACTTGCTTGCAAGAGCGCGCACGTGCAACATGTAAAATTACCATTATAATTGATATAGCCGTAACTTTTCTATTTTTTGATGAAATGTGTTGAAACTCAGAATATAAGAATATATTAGTATTATAGACAAGAAGACTTGGTCAAATTATCATGTACTCACGCGCATGCACGTGCGCTTTGCTCTGATTGGCTGAAACGAAAATCTCAATATCTTATTCGTTTTATGACTAAATACTTTGAAATTTAAAACATAGTCATGCATTAAGATATCCTACGATATGACGATAAAAATTTTTCATAAAAAATCACGCGCATGCACGCGCGCTGCAATCTGATTGGCTAAAATTTTAAATGGCTATAATTCCCTTGGTTTTCAGCCAAACATGTTGGGATTTAGAACATACATATTCTTAATGGACTCCTACAAGAAGGTATGGTCATCAAGTACATGCATGCATGTGCGTGCACGTGCAATTCGTATACTTAAAAATGCACTCGATTTAGTGTATTTTCGAATACTTTTTGATTAAATGCCTTGATATTTAGTACATGAAAATAAATCAATAGTGTATACTAATACTGATTTTAAAATTGTGTACCTTTAACACGAAATATTAAACATACATTAGCATGATTAGGGCATCGACTCGTATTCAAGGCTAACAATTTTTATTTTATTGGAAAAAGAATGTGACCTTAATTTGTGCGAAAAACCATGTGAGCTTAGAAAGTACGTTGAGCTGTATAAGCTGCAATTCTGAGATAATTTGGCAATGTTTTATCAATTAATATTTTTCGAATTTTTTTTATCAAAGTGAATTCAAACTAAGGTATAACACCACACAATATGTTAAATTTCCTTCATTTTGAAGGTCCTACTTACAACATTTATAAGTTTCATCACAATGATGAGACAATCGAATTTATCTTTCTTCTTCTATCGTTATCTGCCTTGTAAATGTATTGGAAAAAGATATTCCACCTTCAGCATGTTCAACCCTTTTAGATTTAAGAGACAAAAAAGAAATTCATATCAAATCAACATATCAAATTAAAAATAAACTCGTTAGTTTTTCAGGCAAACATTCTAAACTGACTAAGATATGTTTAATTTTGTTGTCGCTCGCGTGTCAGTGGCCAGAGCGCCTGCTCTAGAGTCGCGAAGCAAGGAGTCGAATCCCTCCATGGGACGTTGAGACCGGTCCTTGAGATAAAACCGTATAAACCGATGCTTCGTGTCGCAGCAGGCGCTGTCACGAAAAGATCCCTCACTGCTTAATGGCTCTGAGTGCCGAGTATGGGACAGGATTTTTAGCTCTCCATCGGCAAGATGTGGCGTCTCTTCATGAATGAAAAATTCTCGAGAAGAATATTAAATAACACATAATCAATTTTTGAATAATTATATTATGCAAATCGCTTACACTATAGTCGATGGACATGGTCATATGGATTCGAGAAAGCGCAAAATCATATAAGATCCCAATGTATCATTGAAACCAAACAACTATTGCTTCAATCATACGAAACAGTTTCGCTGACTTACATCTGAAACATGTTCGAAAATTATGGTAGAAATCAACTGTAATCTGTGGGGTAACTACTACATGTTTTATGTGCTTAATGTCCCTATAATATATCAGTATAAAAAATCTTCCACCTAGTTTTTTAGGGACTAAACTACAGATTATTTAAAACATAATACATTGAATTCTCAGCTAAATTGTAGTTGAAGAATAAAAAGATTAAGATCTTCAATCCCTAATAGGAAGAAATTCAATGAAATTGAAAACATAACAGATATGAAGGCATTGAATACTCAGTTTATTTCAGTTTATTACTATAAGTATGTTTAGTGGGATGTGTCCTAATTCATGACCTTGAATTTTGGTAAGAGTTATCTCCCCTATTTTAATTAATAAAAAAAATCAATTAAAAAAAATTACCTTGTAAAAAAATTGTTTTCAATTATCATTCTATTTTTAATATTTCAATGCATCTTTCCACTACAGGATTTATTGATATTCAAAATTTATTCAAATTTTTTGAAAAAAAAAACGCTTTTCCCCATAGACTTCAATGCAATCTTTGTTAATTAACTACTGTTTAATTAATGAATTTTTTGAAAATTTCTCGTGGGCAATCCTTTTCCACTATAAAATGCTTTAATATAATATCAGAGTACTGTGTACTTGACGGACATTTAAGGGTAGAGAATTTGGTCCCATTAGGGATTGAAATTCTTTATTCCTCCCAATTCATATATTTAATGTTATTATTAACTAGGCTTAAGAGTTCTCAAGCTAAGATAATATAAAAGAAGTGCACAATTAAAGATTCGAACAAGGTTTTCTGAATTTAAGCAAAATAAATTTGTATCATTGCAAGTAGAGTTAACAGTTGTGCGATACACATTATAATTCGTCTTGTTCGAACATTTCTTCCTAAATAACACAAGACTATTATACAATTCCTTTTAAACAAAAAATGAAATCTTTTCGAATTGAATCATATTCAAAATTAATACAGCTCAATGTTTAACCTCGTTTCAGAGTCTTATGAGAAGGAACTTCGCATAGTTTTATTGGGGAAAAGAGGAAGTGGAAAAAGTGCAACAGGCAATACTATCCTTGGAAAAAGAATGTTTGTAGAATCATCTTCTGCAAAGTCAGTCACCAAGGAATGTCAAAGAGAACACATTTCAAGATTTGGAAAGGATATTCAAGTTATCGATACTCCCGGATTGTTTGATACAGATATCCCTAATTCCTTTGTGCATATAGAAATATCAAAATGCATAGCTATTAGTGCACCAGGTCCACACGCATTTATTTTAGTTCTCGGGCTTACCAGATTCACCCAGGAGGATTACGACGCTGTACGTCAGTTTATCGATCGTTTTGGAAAAGATATTTATAATTATTTTATAATACTCTTTACAGGAAAAGATTACTTAGATTATGAGAAAAAAACGCTAGATATTCATTTACATACCCTACCAGACAACTTAACAAAAATTATAGAAAGATGTGGCAACCGCTGCATATGCTTCAACAATAGGTCAAACGAAGCTGAAAAAGAAAAACAAGTGAAAGATCTCTTGAAAATGATTGAAGAAAACTCCAACAGAAATGGAAAGAAGTATTACACTGATGAAATGTATGCTGAAGCTTCAAGAATTATGAAACAAAGAGAATATGAAATTAGAAAGGAAATGGAAAGAAAAAGAGAGGAAGCAATCAATGCAAAAAGATCAGAACTAGAGGAACACTTTAAAAAAAGAATGTCAGAACTAATGCAAAAAAATGAAGAAACCAACAAACAGTACCAAGAGCTACTTAAAATATTTAAAAGAAAAGAAAGGGAATATCTAGAACTGAAGAATAAAATTAGTTCTATGGAAAAAACGATTAGGGAGGGAAAAGGTAAAAATTGTGAAATGATAAATGATCTTAAACTTAAAAACCAAAACAAATTTGTCGTCGAGAAACAAGTTCAAAATTTACAACAATCTATAAATGTAATGGAGATTTCAATAAAAAATAGAGACGAACACTTTGATGCTAAAGAGAACAAAATGAACGACGATATAATAAAACTAGAGACTGAGAGAGTATCAAAAGCTCTTACAAGAGAAGGAAAGAAATGAAAACTTAAAATAGGAAAAAGAAAAAGTAAGAAAAGAAACCGAGAAAACTAAATGGTTTCATAAATTTAGACGACGGACTGGAACAATCAAACAGGATACGGACATAGAAAAAAATGTGAAGAGGAAGAAAAAGAACAAAAAGACAAAGAGAGTGATGAATAACATTTCTCAGCTTTGTTTAACTTTAGATTTCAGACATTTGCAGTGAGCGATCCAGAATAATAAGCAATTATAAAATGCATATACTAAAGCAACAAAAAGTGACCTCGGACTTCTTCTTCTAGAAAACGAGGATCCCTGTTACGTGAAGCTCGGATCCCCCCGAATAGAATTCCTTGATTCGGGAAGTAATATTTTCTTAAATTAATCTTGTATCAATTTCCCTCAACTGAGAATCATAAATCATTAATTTCAAAAAAGAAATAATTCGATTTTTTTCCGTCTTGCTTCCATTAATTTTATTTGTATTTTGGTTTGATTTTTGAATGTCTGTTTTTTTAAATTGATTTGATATAATTTATTATTTGTGCCATTTATGTTAATTAATACTTCGTTAAAAGAAAGAAATAATTATATATATATATATATATATATATATATATATATATATATATATATATATATATATATATATAAAGCACAAAGAAATTCACTTTTACATGGATACCCACTTCCGCCCCAGCCCGGGGTTGAACTCTCGACCTTCGGAATCTGTCTCCTAGCAGTGCAGGAACAGCGCGCTAGACCGCTCGGCCATCTAGGCAAGTCAAAAAACTTGCTTTCGATGCCGATGGAATTCTCGCGGCGCTGCCCTACACTACACGGTCATTGAGAATAGAAGTGAGATACAGTTATTTGGACATTAGTTTTTAACAGAGGATTGTTACCAATACATGTTGTAATGAAATTAATTATTATTTATAAAGCACATTTTACAACAACTCTTAAACTAACATAACTGCCCTAAGTGAAGAAATATTAATATATAAAGCACAAAGAAATTCACTTTTACATGGATACCCACTTCCGCCCCAGCCCGGGGTTGAACTCTCGACCTTCGGAATCTGTCTCCTAGCAGTGCAGGAACAGCGCGCTAGACCGCTCGGCCATCTAGGCAAGTCAAAAAACTTGCTTTCGATGCCGATGGAATTCTCGCGGCGCTGCCCTACACTACACGGTCATTGAGAATAGAAGTGAGATACAGTTATTTGGACATTAGTTTTTAACAGAGGATTGTTACCAATACATGTTGTAATGAAATTAATTATTATTTATAAAGCACATTTTACAACAACTCTTAAACTAACATAACTGCCCTAAGTGAAGAAATATTAATACAGTAAAATTTGTCTAATCCGGACTCTGAATACTCCGGACTTTTGTCCATTCCGTCTACAAATTTTAGTCCCATGCACTTCTTTAACAAATTCAATGAAAAAAATTCTGTGTAGTCCGGATACTGTCTACTCTGTATTCCGAACGGCCATACTGGTCCCAACTGCTCATAATTAACGGTTTATTATTCCCTCTAATCCGGCCACACCTGAGTTACTTCAGAGCAATTAACACCTTTCGTGATGGATGTGATAATCCGTGTTTACATTAGTATGATTAGTGCCATGAGACGTACTCTGTGAAATGCGGCGGTGACGCAGCCCACTTGAAAATATATTATATGATTAAATTACAATTTTTAAAAATTAACTTTGTTTTAACTCCTTTTACCACATTAAAACATAAACACAAAAATATATGTACGCGATTTACAAATCAATATATAAATCGGGATCGAAAATCGAACGCATTTCAAAATGGCACCATACATGTAACACTGTGGGGGAAGACGTAGTTTTTTTTTACATAAAAATTAAAAGTTCAATCTAATAATTAGCACATCGTAAATAATTGCGCATTGCTGTTAATACATTGAATGAGATCTTTGACAAGCGAAACCCGGTCCGCTTGATACATAGTAGGCCTATATTATGCATGCCTGTCCTGTATATTTTGATTGAGGTAACATTTCACCCGACTTTCATACTTCGTGATTGAACAAATAATTAAATACATTTAAGTCATGTGAGACTATTCTATAATTTCAGACTCCAAAATATTAATTTATTTCATCATTTAATTTTATTTATAATATGTATATGATGTATTTGTAAATAAACAACGAAATTTTCGAAATTGATATTTTCATGCATTTTTCCTGCACTCCGGATTCTGTCTAAACCGGCCAAATTTTATGGAACCGGCGGTAGCCGGTTTGGACAAATTATACTGTATATAAAGCACAAAGAAATTCACTTTTACATGGATACCCACTTCCGCCCCAGCCCGGGGTTGAACTCTCGACCTTCGGAATCTGTCTCCTAGCAGTGCAGGAACAGCGCGCTAGACCGCTCGGCCATCTAGGCAAGTCAAAAAACTTGCTTTCGATGCCGATGGAATTCTCGCGGCGCTGCCCTACACTACACGGTCATTGAGAATAGAAGTGAGATACAGTTATTTGGACATTAGTTTTTAACAGAGGATTGTTACCAATACATGTTGTAATGAAATTAATTATTATTTATAAAGCACATTTTACAACAACTCTTAAACTAACATAATTTCTTTGTGCTTTATATATTAATATTTCTTCACTTAGGGCAGTTATGTTAGTTTAAGAGTTGTTGTAAAATGTGCTTTATAAATAATAATTAATTTCATTACAACATGTATTGGTAACAATCCTCTGTTAAAAACTAATGTCCAAATAACTGTATCTCACTTCTATTCTCAATGACCGTGTAGTGTAGGGCAGCGCCGCGAGAATTCCATCGGCATCGAAAGCAAGTTTTTTGACTTGCCTAGATGGCCGAGCGGTCTAGCGCGCTGTTCCTGCACTGCTAGGAGACAGATTCCGAAGGTCGAGAGTTCAACCCCGGGCTGGGGCGGAAGTGGGTATCCATGTAAAAGTGAATTTCTTTGTGCTTTATATATTAATATTTCTTCACTTAGGGCAGTTATGTTAGTTTAAGAGTTGTTGTAAAATGTGCTTTATAAATAATAATTAATTTCATTACAACATGTATTGGTAACAATCCTCTGTTAAAAACTAATGTCCAAATAACTGTATCTCACTTCTATTCTCAATGACCGTGTAGTGTAGGGCAGCGCCGCGAGAATTCCATCGGCATCGAAAGCAAGTTTTTTGACTTGCCTAGATGGCCGAGCGGTCTAGCGCGCTGTTCCTGCACTGCTAGGAGACAGATTCCGAAGGTCGAGAGTTCAACCCCGGGCTGGGGCGGAAGTGGGTATCCATGTAAAAGTGAATTTCTTTGTGCTTTATATATTAATATTTCTTCACTTAGGGCAGTTATGTTAGTTTAAGAGTTGTTGTAAAATGTGCTATTATATATATATATATATATATATATATATATATATATATATATATATATATATATATATATATATATATATATATATATATAGAGAGAGAGAGAGAGAGAGAGAGAGAGAGCACCAAGAAACTAACTTTTACATGGATACCCACTTCTGCCCCAGTCCGGGATTGAACTCTCGACCTTCGGAATCTGTCTCCTAGCAGTGCAGGAACAGCGCGCTGGACCGCTCGTCTATCTAGGCAAGTCAAAAAACTTGCTTTCGATGCCAATCGCATTCTAGCGGCGCTGCCCTGCACGGTCATCGAGAATAGAAGTGAAATACAGTTAATTGGACATTAGTTTTATCAGAGGATTGTAACCAATATGTGTTGTAATGAAATCTATTATTATTTATTAAGCTTATTTTACCAGAGTTCTTAACAATTCTTAAACTAACATAACACTGTTTTTTTATAGAAATATATTGGTTACAATCCTCATATGTATATATATATATATATATATATATATATATATATATATATATATATATATATATATATATATATATATATATATATATATATATATATATATGATCCAATAAAAAAAGTCTTAGTGGTTAAGAAGGACACAAGGATTGTTACTGATATATTTTACAAAGTGGCGGATACACACCAATACTTACATTTTGGTTCCTGCCATCTGCATCATACCAAAATTCCTTATAACCTTGCCAGACGTATATGCGCCATTGTCAGTGAAAAAGATACAAGGGACATTCGTTTAAATGAACTAAGAACGTATCTTGTTAAACAGAAATATCCAGTTCAGCTTATGAATGATGGAATACTTAAAGCCAAGGAACATGAAAGATCGGAATTACTTTTAGCCAAAGGACGTGAAGTTAGCGAGAATATTATTCCCTTTGTGCACACGCATAATCCCTGGAACCAGAACATCAACCCCATTGTTCACCAACTGAACACAATTCTCAGATAGGACGAAACTACAAACTTAAGACAATTTATAAAGACGTAAAATTTATTTCAAGTAGACGTCAACCCAAGAACCTGAAAAGACTCCTTTGTAATTCTAATTTTGAAGAAACTTATTCAGTGACTAAATGTGGAGATCCCCGATGCGGAACCTTTGATTTTTTAACTGAAGGATCTTGTTATAACTTTAACGGCAGAAAATTCACAGTGAACGCCAATATGTCGTGTGATACACAAAATGTTTTATATGTGATAACCTGTCCAGGGTGTAGTGAATTTTACATAGGTGAGAACAGTAACACCTCTGTACCAGGGTTCGTACCCACAAGCAACAGATTAACACTCCAGAGTATAGACAAATACCATTAAGTGAACATTTAGACGTGTGCGGACAAAAGAAAGGATGCCTGCACTTAAGGAAACTTAGATATTGCGACATAATTATTTTAAAAATGGGCATTTTTCTTTTAATGGTAGAAATGGCCAATGTCCTAACTGCAACTTTGTGTAATTACGTTAATTAAAAGTTTGTATAAACGAAGTTCGAAGTCGTTTTTATTGGGAAGGGTCATCGCATATTCTGGAATCTCCATAGGATAATGAGTACGCCCACCTTTTTATAGGCTTAATACATAGTAAGCGCATGTTTGTCTATTGTTCTCCTTTTTATGGTAGTTGTTTATACATATTACCTCATATTAAAAGGAGATCAATAGACAAACATGCGCTCATGGTTAAAAAGAGAAAAAAATGTTTCTTCGTGTGTTCACTTTCTCTATAGTAAACAGGCCATTTTGACCACGTTGTTACCTGTTGAATATTATAAATAACCACGTGATTTCTATACCCAGGTAACTCTGTGAATACTAAAATTCCCTCACGTGACGTGTAAGGAAAAACGCATTCTGCTGAGCGTTAGTGATTGTCCATATCTGTTTCAATCTATTTCCATCGAGCCACGGGTTATTCTTTTTTCTCTTAGATATCTATAAGATTATTCTTATATCTTTCTCAAAAGCGTTTCATTTTACTATATTTATATATTTTCTAGTGTATTATATGTCTCTACATGTTCGTAGTTTACAAGAAAAAAGAGATTTATTTATTATGTTTTGAACCATCGTTTATCATGAACATCCAATGTAAGATCCAGTAAATAAAAATGAAACCATACCATCCTAAGCACACTAATTTATGGGGAGAAGAAATTAAGAAAAACATAAGTAATTGTGACGTTTTTCTTTCTTTTTTTCATAAAAAGGGAAAAATAAAGCAAGTCTTAATGTTGTTAGCGGGTTTCGATCCCAGATCCCAGACCTCAATATTATAAATTCTGTGCATTACCGACTGAGCTAGTCGGCACTTATACTCGAACACGTGAATTGTTGACATCAGCCATTGCTGTTGATTATCAATGGCTACTTCTACCGGTCGATATTATTTGTTATAAGTTATATACTTTATTTGAAAATTTAAAAAAAATAATAGTGAAAAACATATGCCGAGAGAGAGAGAGAGAGAGAGAGAGAGAGAGAGAGAGAGAGAGAGAGAGAAGAGAGAGGAATGCACCAAATATAAATGCAGTAACTATTCTAATTATAGACCACTATTCACAATATTAGCTCCGCCTCTTATGCATATTTATAAATCTTATCTCCAATCAAAGGCAGATAAGTCTAATTTCCCGATATTTGCAGAGAGGTGAGGTAAGAAAACATCAAATTATTTTATTACAACGCAGTTTTTAAGCTTTATGACATTGCATTTCATTTGGAAATAGACCAAACTCTATAACAAATGACTTGAGGCAAAAATAAAAACAAAAATAAATTTGACAACAGAGATTGAAAAAGACCCCAAAACCGGCGTTAAGTGCAGTCATCCTTTACAATATTTCCGTTTTATAAAGTAGCAGGAGGAAATGATATTTGTAGACGTCAAAAATTAAGAGAAACATTTTATTTGTGCGTTGAAACCAACGCTTAACAATCTAATATAATAATATAATATAATGTATGTCTATTAGATTTAATTATGTATGCATATGTTTATCTGCATTTTTTTTAAAAACTTGAAAATTTCCCGTATATTTACCTGTACGCAATGAGCTGTTAACTATGACGTCATAATTCATTTGACTTCATAATAACTACGTCATATACTCCGCCAATTATTTTGTAACGTTACTATGTTGCTACAGTTGTTTATTTTGTAAATTTCTGAAGATAGAATGAAAGGCCTAAAGCTTTATTGGAGTTTTTTCGTGTTTTTCTTTTTTATTTAAGTATATATATATATATATATATATATATATATATATATATATATATATATATATATATATATATATATATATATATTAGGGATGTCAACGAGTACCCGGTTAACCGGGTACTCGATCGAACGTCCGAGTATCGAATACTAAAATCGGTACTCGGTTACTCGGATGTATATTTTTAAATATTTCTAAGCTTATTTATCAATGCATTAAAGCATCCGTTTTAAAACGTAAAATTTTCATTGCATTTGTACATACATTAATTAGGGTTTCCTTCGCCTCTAAATGACCTATATCGGCTGTGGCAGTGTTTATACAGTAATTACCAAGCACCTGCTACCTACCTGGCTTTTCTCACCTTCGGCTGTCTTCTACCCTTATGTTTAGTTTGCTTTAATTATTTGTTTTAATTGAACATTGTTTAAGGTCTATTATGTTTAAATAAATTAGATAATTTTGTCAATTCCCCAAGAAGCCGTAAATTCTCGGGGAAAGAGACAGACGATATTGCACGTGCGATTGCTGATATGGATGCGTTTGATTACATGCCAATTAATGTAAATGGTTGAAGCACAGGCACCTGAAGTATGGATAATACCCCCCTTTTTTAATTAAAAAATGTGAGAATGTATAATACCTCGAAAATATAAAATTTCCCCGTTAAACACATCTATATGTCGTTATATGCAAGCAGATTGTACTTTTCCTCACGTTTAAAGAAAGGCCTTATTCAGTATAATAAAAATACACGTGTATTTTTATTATACCGAATAGGGCCTTTCTTTAAACGTGAGGAAAAGTACAATCTGCTTGCATATAACGACATATAGATGTGTTTGACGGGGAAAATTTATATTTTCGAGGTATTATACATGCTTACATTTTTTTTTCATTTAAAAAAAGGGGGGGTATTATCCATACTTCAGGTGCCTGTGGCTGGAACTGTACATGTAGCTCTGACGACTTATCACTTGGACGTCAAACGCATCAATGAGTTATATTACTTTTTTTAACAAAACCACGGCGAACCATAAATATTGATTTTATTTCTCGTATTTATCTTATTAATAAATTGAACTTTAAAAAAATATTAGATTAAATTTCATCGGGCACAAAGTGATCATAATTATTACAACCCATTTTACATCAGACCATGTCGTTTTATTTCTACAAGAGTTTACAATCATTATGTTTTACAGTTATCAATTAACTTGTTCATATTTGTTTAGACTTTTACCGAGTACCCGGGTACTCGATCGGAAAAACGTCCGAGTAACCGAGTATTAAAAATTGACCGATTTGACATCCCTATATATATATATATATATATATATATATATATATATATATATATATATATATATAGATATATATATAATTATATTTATCCTGCAACTACCCCTTGCATTGACCTAATAAAGGTAACCTAATAAACCAAAGCTTTATTCGGTCACTGCCCTAATAAAGCCTCGTGCTGTCTTTTGACGCCGGACTACTTTGTTTACTTAGCAACAAAATGGACGCTGACGCCTTTGACCTCCATTTTGATGTAAACAATACTGAAGAGGTGGATCAAATCACTTCAAGCGACACGCATGACGAAGGTTTGCCCCCTCCTGTACCTCCTGAATTAATTCCCATTCTTGATGTTGCTTTTGATGAAAATTTATTAGATATTATAAGTGAATTGGAACAAACCCCGTCTGCAGAAATTTCAGAATCTCAATCTGAAAGACCTAGGCCTATCGTCGAAACTGAAGTCCAGGTCAACAATGACCCACAATTTATTGATTTGAAATTTAACGATGTTGAAACTTTCATTACAAATCAAGAAAACTCAAACACAATTAAGAAAACTCTAAAAGATGTGAATCTTGTTAGAAAATTCCTGAAAATGAAAAATGAAAACCGCGATTTGCATGAAATTCCTTGTGACGAATTGGACCAGCTTTTAGCAATGTTTGTGTTATCAGTAAGAAAAATTGACGGTCAAGAGTACGAACCAAGTTCCCTCAGATCTATCATAAGTAGTTTGGACAGAAAACTAGGACGACAAAAATATGGACATAAAATTATGGACATTCAAGACGATTCTTTTCGTTTGACTCGCGACGCCTTAAAAGCAAAACAAAAAAATCTGAAAAAAGAAGGCAAAGGCAATAAACCAAGCAAAGCTGAGGCGATTTCAGACGAAGAAATTAACATATTGTATGAAAAGAAAATCCTAGGAAATGAAACCCCCGAGTCCCTCTTGAATACCCTCTGGTTCAACAACTCTGTTCATTTTGGACTACGAGGAGTGACCGAGCACTATAATTTACGCTGGGGGGATATTCAACTAAAAGTATCATCAGATGGGACAGAATACTTAGAGTATAATGAACGACAAACAAAAACTCGAACAGGCGACAATATTGTCGACATACGCCAGGTGAAACCCAAAATGTTTTCCTCCGGGGACACAAGAGATCCCGTTCTATCTTACAAACTTTATTCGGATAAAAGACCCCCAGGATTTTCTACAGATGACGACCCCTTCTATCTATCAAAACGTACCATTTCTCTAGACGACCCCAGAAGTGACAAATGGTTCTTAAAACAAAAAGTTGGGGAGAAAAAGCTTGCGTCCTTTATGAAAGAGATGGCTATAAAAGCCAATTTCACAGGGAAAAAATTGACCAACCACAGCGCAAGAAAACATCTCATTCAAAAGCTCCGCAATGAAA